GTTTGGACAAATAATCAGTCTGCGACAACCTCAACTCAGGCCACGCCCCCTCTGCACAATGTAGCCTTCAGAGAGCAGGATATTATCGCCTTGCTTTAAGGGTCATCTTCACCCTGTTGGGGTTTGATCCCGGGATAACAACCTGCTCACTGTACATTATCCCTCACATATAAACCCAGCTTGGTCATAAATCCAGCTAGATGAAATCAACCCCTCGGCCTCGCTTATCATTATGTTGTTTCTGCCTTGAAGTATGAGAGTGTTGTCAGTCTGTCTTTGAAATATCTATTTCATTTTTAGTTGGCGATCGATCAGGAAGCGATGAAATTATGATGATTTGCATTTGAGCTTCTCCTCCTGTAAGTCCCAGGACTTGATGGATGAAGACGATTAACATGCGGGACTATTTCTTGGCTGGCATATTACCCATATTAATCATGGAAATGAAGGTTTTACATTAAGACTTCTGCACTGATTATTCAGGCAATAGGAGTTAATTTGGGACTAAGAGGCGAGGCTGGATGTTTCAGGTACTGTGTCCTTTCAGCTTTATTCTGTGCCTTTGAAGGATAACGGAAACCTGCAGTGAAGAACGTTTCCTTCAAACTGCACCAGAATGAAGATCAACTTTTTTGACTTTATTAGACTGAAACGTTCCGGCTTGTGGACTTCATCAGGGTCATGAGTTTGCACAAGCCGAATAAAGTTGTTACGTCCTGACTGGGCTGTGTTTTCAATCAATCAATCAATACATTTTTATTTGTATAGCATCAACTCATTGAGTGTTATCTCGAGACACTTTACAAAAAGCAGGTACAATTCCTTACTCTTTGTCTGTTAACATTACAAAAGAGCAGGTAAAAAGACCTTACTAATTGCTATATTACAAAGATCCGGCCGTTTTGTGTTGCTCCTGCTCCACATTGCCTCCCCGCTGAGATCTGTTCCCATCACCTCCTGAAGATGATCTGCTAATCAGAGGAGCAGGAGATTTATACCTCCAATAAGTTGCACTTGAACGCATCGCAAAGACTACAGGCGACGGCCAACCACCACGTACTGTTCTGCTCATGTGTTAAGAGGAAATAACTCTCCATGCCAGCAGGGGGCGTTAGCTCGTTATGATACGAGAAGACCATTTTCACACCTCTGTCGGTCACCACTCGTATCATAGGTCGTCTACTAATGGAGAATAACTTCTGATAAAAAGTTGAAAAATGGCGCTGGCGTTGTCAGCTCTCGGTCTTTTAGTGGAAAAAGAAAAGAAGAGGCGGCGGAGACAAATAAGGAGAAACTGCACTAATGGGTGAAAGCGTGGATACTACAGCGGCATGCTCAAGGGGCTTTACTGAACCTGAGAGGAGAGCTGGAGAGGAATGAAATCGGCCAAAAAGAGGTCGACATGCCGCAAAAACTAGGGCCTCACAGACGCTCCAACTAGAAGCGACGGCCGACGATCTCCACGGCTACTCCTTCAGTTCCCCTGAACATAATCTTAATAGATCATAACAAAAGATCATAAAGTTGACCTTCATACTACAAGTGTTGCCTGTTCCTTTCACTCTTCATGCATCTTGGTAGCTGGTGAAGTTGTGCCTGACAAAATCCCGCTCTGCTTCTGAAAACTAAAATATGCACAAAAAACAGACAACAAGTGATTGATGTCTGTCATCATCCAGACATCACACAAGCGAGTGTTTTTAACATCCTCTTCTCGATAACTTGTCAGAAGGGAGTTGATAAAAAAGAAATCCATCAGGGGCAGGTTTATCTTCCAACTGCAGAGTCCAGCTTCCTTGCAGCTCCAAGGGAAGGACATTTTTTTTTCTTCTCACAAGGTTGAATGTTTCATTTCCTCTGCTCAAAGACAAGTGACCATTCCCAGAGCATGACTTTTTAATCTGAAGCCGCTGACACATCTTCAGTCTTGCAGCCTTATTCAAGGTTTAGGCAGATGAGATGAGGCGTGAGGGGGGAGTCATTTTTGGGTTGTAAATCTTTTCCTGGAGCAGCTTTAAAAACCGGGTGAAGGCTGTCGTCCCGAGCGAGGGTGGAGCAAGATGTAATATTTTATAATGCTCAAGTCAAGGCTGCACCTCAGCCCGTTTAATTTGATAAAGTGCCTGACGGTTAAAGTGGCATTTGTTCTTGGAAATGTCTTTGTCATTTAAAGACGATTTGAATTGCTCTTCTGGGAATATTATTTCTTTACAAGGCGAACACAGCTGGATGTATTTCTCTCTCTCTCTCTCTCTCTCTCTCTCTCTCTCTCTCTCTCTCTGGTTTGTGTCCATTCTGCTCTGAAGGTTTCGTTTCTTAAAAAGGGTCAGAGGTGAGAAAACATTTGACATTATAAAAGTTTTGCAGATTAAATCGTAAACAGACACTCACAGCATCAACCTTGTCTGCACTACACAGCAGCATCGGCTTTATTAGTTTGCCTTTGAGACAAAAACACCAATTTAGAGGACTGCAAACCAAGCTGGGATAAAGGGTTATCCTGCAGAGCAAGGAAAGGAAAATGTGACGTTGCAATGGCAAAGAGGCAGCATTGAGAATGTGACACAGAGGCACAAATACACATAACACTTGTGTTAATCTCATACACACGCACACACTATAAAATAATAAATTACACTTTTTTTTTATTATAATTGTTTTTATTTTATTTTTTTTATTTTTTTCATTGTTAAAATATTTAATTGCTAATTATTACTTTTCATTTTTACTATTGTATTATTTGTTATTATATGCTTTGGCAATATATTTTACACATTCATGCCAATAAAGCTATTTGAATTGAATTGACTTGAATTAAAATGTGAATACAAGGAAAACGCCTCTTTCTTAAAAAACAAATAATTTCAATTAATTCATAATTTCATTTTTATCCTTCGGTTACGTCTTCCCTGCCTTGGTCATGGTCATGGTCTTGGTCTTGGTCTTGGAGCATTCTGGTCTTGGGTAAGTCTTGGTCTCTGTTATTGTGGTCTTGACTCCGACACTACTGTCATCATTAGAGGATTTCTGTCTCCCACTTACGTCCAAAAAAGTCACAAGTGGGTGGATTATTAGTTGTTGTGAATGACTATCACTATCTTTTTCCGGTGCTTCTAAATTTACTTAAGACACGCAGTCGGGCATTTAAAGTAACTTTGGTGGACGGTAATATTTCAGCTGATAGATTTCTGCAGAAACAAGCCCCACTTTACTGTATACATAAAATGCAGAGTCATGCTTTAATGCTCATCGATCTAAGTGTGTAACAGAAGATGTTTAATAAAAAAAAGGACACAAAATCATCATCTATGTGTGAGTGCTATTGTGGGTTTTTAAAGCAAAGATGAAAGGGAAGAGAAAGTATTTGCTTCATATTTGTGAAATATATTGGATCATTAAATGTTGGAAATAAATTAATGTGTTTATAACGATGTCATCCCTCAGCTGAGTGAATGAATGTAATGTAAAGAAATCAACCTTCTGGGGCTCTACAGCCCTCTGCTGGTGGTACATAACAAGTGCAGCTCATAGAGTCAAGTCTATCACGATGACACACACTGAATAAAGGAAGAACATTGAGTTATATTTATTTCAGACATATTAAAAAATGCAAAAGATTAAGGCAAGAAACTCAGCAGAAAACATAAAAGGGGGAATCTAAACATTGATATTGACTCCCTTAGTCAACACAAAACAAAACGACATGTTCGATCAAGGAGAGCATGACGTTTACTCTTATTGATTTATCCCTCATATCCACTTTTCAACAACAACTTAAAAGCAACAACATCAAACTTTATTTATAAATCACATTTCAGACAAATTCAACGTGCAGTTCAAAGTGATTTACAAAAGTGATTTGCATGGCAAAGTTTACAAGTTGCACTTTAAAAACATGAACATGTAAACTGTTCTTTGTGCTATTTTCTTAAATACAAAAGCTTTAAACATTCTCATATGGCTCTAGGTGATATTGTGGATGACTATAAGGATGTGTTTTCCGTTACCAGCTGCATTTCTTGGACAGCATTTTTGCACGTTTGTCTCTTGATAACATTTGGACAAACTTTTGTGCACAGCTTCTGTATGTTCTTCCTTTTCATCTGTTTCAGCCCTGCATAAATTAGTACATTGCAAGCTACTGTCACCTGAGGGAAAGTGTATTTTGATTCTGATATTTGATCCATCAAAGTGAACAAAATAATTCTACCACCTGGAGAGGATGTGGGAACATTTATAACGACAATTATACACATTTATTTTTGGAACTTTCTAAGGGAAATAAGTGGAAATATATATCACAATCACCATGATTAGGATTTTTTTGTTTGCCATAATCGAGCAGCCCGACAAAATAACTGAATAATATTCATAATTAAATGATTATTATTGTAATAAAATATATGTATGTTGGTCGCTTGATTTCACTTCACTGTCTATTTTCTATTATTAGGCATTTAGAGGTTTATAACCTTATCTATGTCACCTTAAGTATGTTGCATTTAATATTTTCATATTTAAGACTAGTAATGTTTAGTTAAATCCTGGTTGTATATATTCACATTCTTAGTTTTAATATTTTTAGTGCTTATTTACTTTGTATTTAATATTATATTGTGTGTTTTGCTCATATTGTGTGTTGGACAACCTGCTGCTGTAACGCCACAACTTCCCAGTTTGGGATCAATAAAGTAATTTTATTATGTTCTATCTGTTCACTCATTATCAGTTTTAATTGTATTATTTGTTTTTAGTTGTTTAACATGTTTTTGAATCATTACATTGAAAGAAGTTCATTTCGGTGCTTTGTGTCAATAAAAGAAGAAGTAATGTACACAGTACTCACAGTAGGGTTCCTGTTTGTATCCTCTATAATCCAAATAAAGTTGAGATAAAAAAAAAATAAAACTCTTAGCGCCAAGACGAGTCACATCATTTCTGGGTTGTAGTATCCCGGCTTGTGATTGGAGGAGCTTCTTTTCCACGCCCACTACGTTCCATGCGTATCTTTCCCGCGATTTGCCGCCGTGTTTCCGTCACTAGCTGGATGCTAGGTGATGCGGGAAGGTTCAGCGCATTCTCGTGCAAACGCAAAAATAAATAAAAGAATAACTTTGAAATTGGGGGAAAATGGCGAAACAAAGCTCCCTCTTCAACTTCTTCCCCAAGTCTCCTCCGCCGGTCTCCTCCAAGACGAAGCCGGGTCCCTCTCCGACCGAGGCGGACCTGCCTTCCTCGGTGAAGAAATCCAACTCGTCCCCGAAAGAGGAAGCTAAACAGACCCCGCAGCAGCAGCAGCAGCCAGCCAAGAGCAACAAACAGAAAAGCCACTCCAAGTCCGCTAAAGGAGGATTTAACAAACTGTTTGGAGACAAAGCACCTGCAGCCACACACAGGTGAGTCAGTGTTGGGATCTGTCTAATTACTGGAGTCACTGTTTAATCCCCGCTGCAGAGGAGAAAGTGTGCAAGGCCGAAAAGGGAATTTATATTAAATTTAAAAAACACAGCTTTCTGAGTTAGTCGACTCACGCATCCCTGATGTTTCTTTAACGACATCTTTGGTCTGCTGAAAGTGTAAAAAGTCATGTTTTTGAATCATCAAAACTTCACACGATGTATTTTTGCAGGAAGAGTTTTGTCCCATGTGTGCGCGTGACTCCAGCAGAACAATGTGGGGAAGAAACAACAAGTCATTTATTAGAATCAAATAAAGTCATTTATTAGAATCAAATAAAGTCATTTATTAGAATCAAATAAAGTCATTTATTAGAATCAAATAAAGTCATAAAGTCATTTATTAGAATCAAATAAAGTCATTTATTAGAATCAAATAAAGTCATTTATTAGAATCAAATAAAGTCATTTATTAGAATCAAATAAAGTCATAAAGTCATTTATTAGAATCAAATAAAGTCATTTATTAGAATCAAATAAAGTCATAAAGTCATTTATTAGAATCAAATAAAGTCATTTATTAGAATCAAATAAAGTCATTTATTAGAATCAAATAAAGTCATAAAGTCATTTATTAGAATAAAATAAAGTCATTTATTAGAATCAAATAAAGTCATTTATTAGAATCAAATAAAGTCATAAAGTCATTTAGCATTTTTAAAACTCATTTATTCAGTCTGGCTTTTATAAAATGTTTTATATCAATTAAAATCTTACATTACTGTATTGTCTTTTTATCCTACTTCAATTTTAAATATTTTCCTCTTATGTATTTATTTTAATATCTTATTGCTGCTTAATGTGTCGTATTTTATTTAATTTTATTTCTATACATATTTTTTTTAATTCTTATTGGTGTGCATTAGTCTCTCAGTGATTTTACAAAATGCTTTTTCATCAATAACTTTTCTGCACTCTTGTTAAAGCACTTTGAACTGCAATTGAATTTGTCTGAAAGGTGCTTTATAAACAAAGTTAGATTGATTGATTAGACAGACCGTCAGAAGTTGTTATTTGTTGAGGAAACTTTTTCATGTCATGCCAGTATCCTCCCTCGATAATAACTCAGTGCATGCACTTTTTATAATATGCCAAAAGGCCAAAGCAATGTCCTGAATATACAGTTTAATATGTTTTCTTTAATGTAAACGAAAGAGGTTCTTAAGTGTCTTGAAATAGTCCTACCCTAGTCTGGACTCTTCTCATCATTGGGGGGTTTGTTGACAGACTAAGGAGACGTATTAGTGTTAGAGAAACATCGAGAAGTTCGTATCAAATGTGAAATTTAAAATGGAAATAGTTTCCTGAGAGACGAAATAGTTGAGTTTTATTTGTGGGCTGTTTCACAGAAATCTGATTTAGTCTTAATTTGGATGTCTGAATATTATTTATTATTTTGATCTTGTATCAGCATGTGAAGAGCTTTAATTAGAGATTAGATGAACCTGTGGAGGTATCCAAATGTAGAGAAAGTCAACATGCATACAAGTCTCACTTTGCACTCATAAAAAGTAATTGTGGGCTTGAAATGTCTGCACAAATCATTTTTCTGTGATGCAATAATAATAATAATATTCTTTATGTCGTGTTTGAAAAACATTTCTCCATTTCCTCCTCAGCTTTAGAAACGCCTGTTAGAAGTCCTCCTCACTCCTCCTCACAGTTTGACACCTGAGGAGCTCTCTGAAGGGCTGAGACACTTTGTGAATAACTTTCATCTTTAATCGTCACTTTAAGAGGAAATTCTTAGAAAATGTCCTGATTCTAAGAACTCAGTACTTTGTAAACAGTAGCTCAAATATATCTCTTTCTGTTCCTTCTCCCAGCAGCCCAACATGCCCTCTAAACGGTGGGGCTCTCGTTTGGACCAAACTGGAGGGGCACCCCTGGTGGCCGTGCATGGTCATACCCCAACCTCTGACAGGGCAGCAGATGAGGGGCAAGGGGCGGAGCCAGCGGATCCACGTCCATTTCTTCGATGAGCCGCCCACCAGAGGATGGGTCAGCACCAAATATGTCAAAGAGTACAAAGGTTGGCGACAACTTCTCCTTTCATTATTTTTATTATTAGTGAATATTAATCTGTCACTGTGGTTTTATTTTGTTATTTTTCCTCCAATCAAGTTTTTTTTTTGTTTGTTTGTTTGTTTGTTTTTGTTTCGCAGGCTCCAGCCACAGTGATGCTAAATCAGGCGGGGCGTTCTTCAGCGGGAAACCTGTAATCCGTCGGGCGATGGAGCTCGCTGACGACGCTCTGTCTGACAGCCCGGAAAACAGATTAAAGATGCCGCTCTGCATGGACCCGTCGGATGATGAAGACGATGATGAAGAGATGGAGGTGACATTGGGATTTGTTACTCTTTCCATAAAATGTCTTTATTCTGTTTCCTTTTCTTCACAAATTCTGTATTCAGCTTTTTTTAACTTCTCACTTTTGTGTCTGCTTGAAGCATCACAACTCCTCACCACATTTTCTTCATGATCAGCCGCAGAATCATTTTTGTTACCGGCCAGAAGTGAGCTTTTAAAATCTCATATTTCTGATGTAATCTCTTCTGAATGCAGACAGAATGTACTGTTCTTTCTATGTGTTGTACTTCACAAGTGTTAACATAAATAAACAGCCAAACTCCTTTTCAAGAGCCAGGAAGTGAGCGTGCCTGCTCCTTTAATTACTTCTTCAAAGTAGACAAGATGACAACGAATCGGAGTGAAACTAGAAAAGAAAATACAAGCTGCATTTAGTAGTTGGCTATAAAACAATAGTAGAGTGTAAATTTAAGTTAAACTCCGATAAACTCAGAGTAAATGTAGATAAAATGTCTCAATATAGACGATCAAACATGTAAACAACAAGTTAGACTTACAGCCATCGCTTTCTGAAGGATTCACACAAAGGAGGACTTTGGATTCAACATGGAAACCCGTACAGACACCACCATGCTGCTTCTCTGTTTACACACTATCTACTTCCTGTTTCCTGGTTCCTGTGTCTTCACAGATTTCAAAATAAAGGAACAATAACCTTTTATTCAAACGACAATGAAACTTTGTCCTATAACATATAAAACACATCAAGGGCAGCACACAGAATATTTATTAAAATTTAATTTATTAAATATTTTCACAATTAAATCACCAGTATTGTAGAAATTATAATTCTTCTTCTACTTCCTCCTTTTTGTCTTTTTCGCAGCTCGACAAGTCAACCCTGACCGATGAAGAGCTCACTGACGAGGACGAGTACAAAAACGAGGACGTGAAGTCCCCCAAGGTCAGCCGCCGTTCGTCCCGTGCATCTAAAGACGATGGAAACAAGGCCAAGCGCCGTCGCATCGTCCTCGACTCGGACAGCGGATCCGATGACGAATTTAAACCGGATCAGGCAGCGTCCAGCAGTGAGGACGAGGAGGAGGGAGAGGTGGTTAGTGAAGAAGAAGGAGAAGAAGAAGAGAAGGAGGAGTCAGAAGCAGATAGTCCCGTTAAGCCGGTGAAGCGCAAACGTCCTGCTGAGAAGTCGTCTTCTTCTAAAGCGAAGACGCCGTCCGTCCCGGCCAACACGCCCAAACGAGCTCCCCCAGCCGTCAAAGTCGACACAAAATCCCGCCTGTCCGCCTTCTCTGCTCCCGAGACCTTCGAGAGCCAGGAGAAGGGATCGGGGGCGAGCGGCGGTCCAACCGTTTGGGACCACGAGAAGCTGGATTGGTTGCAGGACGGCAGGAGGAAAGACGGGCGCAGGCGGAGACAGTCGGAGGAGGATTACGATCCCAGCAGCCTCTACGTGCCCGACGACTTCCTGAACAGGGTCACGCCCGGGATGCGGCGCTGGTGGCAGCTCAAATCCAAGATGCTCGACACGGTCATCTTCTACAAGGTGGGGAAGTTCTACGAGCTCTACCACATGGACGCCGTGGTCGGAGTCAACGAGCTGGGGCTGACGTTCATGAAGGGAACCTGGGCGCACTCCGGCTTCCCAGAGATCGGCTTCGCCCGTTTCTCCGACGGCCTCGTCCAAAAGGGCTACAAGGTGGCGCGTGTGGAGCAGACGGAGACGCCGGAGATGATGGAAGCCCGCTGCAAGACCTTATTGAGGCCCACAAAGTTTGACAAGGTCGTGCGGCGAGAGGTCTGCCGCATCATCACGCGGGGAACCCAGACGTACAGCGTGCTGGACGGCGCTCCCTCAGAGAGCCAGAGCAAGTTCCTGCTGAGTCTGAAGGAGAAGGCCGAGGAGGAGAGCTCCGGGCGCTGCCGCACCTACGGCGTCTGCTTCGTCGACACCTCCGTCGGTTACTTCCACGTCGGTCAGTTCCCGGACGACCGTCACTGCTCTCGTCTGCGCACGCTGATCGCTCACTTCGCGCCCGCCGAGGTGCTCTTTGAAAAGGGGAACCCGTCTGCAGAAACGAGGAAGATACTCAAAGCGTCTCTGTCGTCGGCGCTCCAGGAAGGACTGAACTCAGGCACTCAGTTCTGGGACGCGCAGAAGACTCTTAAAACCTTCTCGGAAGAGGATTACTTCAGAGAGACTTCTGGGAAGGATCAGGAAACAGGAAGAAGTTTTCTCCCTCCTCTCGTTAAAAAGATGACGTCTGAGAGCGACTCTCTGGGCCTGACTCCCAAAGAGGGCTACGAGCTGGCTCTGTCGGCGCTGGGCGGGTGCATCTTCTACCTTAAGAAATGTCTGGTGGATCGAGAGCTGCTCTCCATGGCCAACTTTGAAGAGTACGTCCCCGTTGATGTGGAGATGGAGAACGCCGCGGGGACGGCCAGTTTCTTCGCTCAGACTCGTCAGCGCATGGTCGTCGACGGGGTGACTCTGGCCAACTTGGAAATCTTTCAGAACGGTTCAGGAGGACTGGAGGGGACCCTGCTGGAGAGGTTGGACACCTGCTGCACCCCGTTCGGCAAGAGGCTGTTGAAGCAGTGGCTCTGCGCCCCCCTGTGTAACCCCGCCTCCATAAAGGACCGACTGGACGCCGTGGAGGATATGATGGCCGCTCCGGCTCAGTCCGCAGAGGTTTCAGACCTGCTGAAGACGCTGCCAGACCTGGAGCGTCTCCTGAGTAAGATCCACAGCATCGGCACTCTGAAGGGGCAGGATCACCCCGACAGCCGGGCCGTTCTCTACGAGGAGGTCACCTACAGCAAACGCAAGATAGCGGACTTCCTGTCGGCGCTGGAAGGCTTCAAAACCATGCAGGAGATCATTTCTGTGCTCGCTCCGGTCACGGAGGAGACCCGGTCCACGCTGCTCCGCCAGGTCGTGACCCGCAAAACCGAAAAGGACGGCCTCTTTCCCGACCTCTCCGGCGAGCTCAGGCGCTGGGAGACCGCCTTCGACCACCAGAAAGCGCGCACGACAGGCGTCATAAGCCCCAAAAGCGGCTTCGACGCAGAGTACGACCAGGCTCTGACCTCGATCAAACGCTGCGAGCGCGAGCTGCAGGAGTACCTGGACAAACAGAAGAAGAGACTCGGCTTCAAAAACATGGCTTACTGGGGAACCGGGCGAAACCGCTTCCAGATGGAGGTGCACGACAGCGTCTCGGAGAGGAATATTCCCGAGGAGTACGAGGTGAAGTCCACAAAGAAAGGCTGGAAGCGTTATGTGACCAAGGAGTCGGAGCGGCTGTTTGCGGAGCTGCAGGGATTCGAGGAGAAGAGAGACGCCGCCCTGAAGGACTGCATGAGGAGACTCTTCTTCAACTTTGACAAGAACTACAAAGACTGGAAGACCGGCGTGGAGTGCATGGCTGTCCTCGGTAATTACATCCTTTTTTTTTTCCCTTTGAACAAGACTTATTCAACATGCATCCATCAGTATGGCCTAGTGGTTTAATGAAGTACATTGTAAACAAACAGAATCAGAGTCTGGGTTTATTGTACATTCACACATACAATGAATTTGACTTGGTGTATTGGTGCTAAACAATTAACAAGGAAATAAAGCAGAACTAGCAACAACTTAAATAATACAGAATAAGAAGATATTACAATATATAAAATAGAATTTAAAAATGTAAAAAACACAAAATGTACAAAAGGTGCAGTGTAGGAGAACAAGCAACAATGTTTGCTTATGCATACAGCTCGCAACATGCGTGTCAGTATTATTCTCATCATCTGGCTAGAAATCAAAATCCTTAAACCCTGCAGGAGCCGAGGGTGCGGGCGGCCCGGGTTCAAGTCCAACCTGTGGCTCTTTTCCTGCGTGCTCGTCCCCGACTTCCTACTCTATCCTCTGTCCAATCAAAGAAAAGCCCAAAAATGAATCTTGAAAGAAGGAAAAAAGTTAGACTTCATGCACTCAACAGGATAGGATACCCCCCTGTGGAGTCTAGACCCTGGTGGTGATGGAGGTGTGCAGGATGTGATGAGGAGTGGGTTTCTGAGGCTGGATCTGAACTCTGCAGAGCTGGAGTGGAGGGTCGCAGCGATCGCACTGAAAAGACTAATTGACTGCAGAAGAGAACGAACAGATTTTAAAATCTTGTCACCAGCAGCAGCAGCAGCAGCAGCAGCAGCAGCAGCAGCAGGATGATGATTGGTTGAGAGAGGCCGTGGCAGAATCTGGTTGGTTGATTAGTTAAAGAGTCAACGTGCACAATCAGCTGATGCTGCTCGGGTGGTCACAGTTCCCGAGTTGGGAAGTCGTTCTTCCGACTTTAGTGTGTTCACGTGATTTCAGTTTGGAAAGTCTGAATGTTGTAACAACAGCACCAAACAGCATTGATGGTACGAAGAAGAAGATCAGTGAAATGTATCTGTTAAAAGTTATATTGGAGCAAAAAGTTGATATGAAATACCTGAATTAATTAAAGTATAGTAATAAAACATTTTGCCCCCCCATGTGTTGACGATTCTGACGTCAAGTCGGGAAGTCGGGCACCTTATTTTTTTCCGAGTTGTGACTTGAGCAGGTGTTCGTGTGCGGAAACTCGTTTTTCCGATTTGTCCGACAACACATGAATGCAGCACGATCACCAGAGGGAGCGGTTAAGTTGAATGAATGAACGCTGGACCGCCATGTTGGCAATACGTGAATGTTTCCCTTTTAAAGGTCTAAAACACGCGTAGCGGTCAGACTCTACATAAACACAGCGCAGGTTTCTCTTGACTTCAGTCTTCAATGAGTGTTTTCTCTCGTTCTCAGACGTGCTGCTGGCTCTGTCACGCTACAGTCAGGGTGGAGACGGCCCGATGACCAGGCCGCAGGTGGTGCTCCCTGAAGGCGATGACCAGGCGGCGCCCTTCCTCGACCTCACTGGATCCCGGCACCCTTGCGTCACAAAGACCTTTTTCGGCGACGACTTCATCCCAAACGACGTCTTCATCGGCTGTCCCGGAGGCGGCGAGGACGACGCCAACGAGGACAACGCTCAGGCCTCGTGTGTGCTCGTCACGGGGCCAAACATGGGCGGAAAGTCTACTCTCATGAGACAGGTGGGTTCGTGATCTCACAGCAGGACGCTGCAGGTGTGTTTTCACCCTCTGGTTTGGCTGTTATTGATGCAGCGTGTTGCTCTTCTCGTGCAGTGTGGACTGGTGATCATGCTCGCTCAGCTCGGTTGTTATGTTCCAGCTGAGAGCCTCCGCTTCTCCCCCGTCGACAGGGTCTTCACTCGGCTGGGGGCCTCAGATCGGATTATGGCAGGTAACATCACGACCTCTTGTAACCTTTCACTCAGTGGGCTTTGTTTTATTTTAGTTTTTTAGTTTTAGTTTATTTGCACATTTTTTGAAAGAAGAGTCAAACAGAAAAATAAAAAATTAAACTTGTGCAGTGGTGAGGTAGAAACCCATGAGGTCTTATCTCAAAACCTCACCTTAAGAGATTAAACAAAGTTAAAATAAAATGCAGTAAAAATAACAAAGTAAGGATATTTACTATCACAAATAAAACAATCACAATTGAAAATTACACACAAACATTGAAAACATCAAAATGGAGCGAAACAGGACATACAGGATGTAGACAATATCACAAAATCAGGACTATTCACTAGAAATCTTTCTGACATCAACACATTTCTGAGCTATTCCAACACTTCATGTGCTTACCAGAAGAGAAGTTGAAAACATGGAACGGATTAAAACTCCCAGCTCGGTTTGGCAGCATTTTTGATCCAAATAAAACAAGAGATAAAAAGGTTTGTAGGACGTGTCGGGGTCAAACTGGAGTATCGACCGGAGCAGTGGGCGTCCGCATTGAACACGTCATGTTGATGTTGACCTGCAGGGAGGAACAAAGGAACTCTTAAATACACTGTGGTACTAAAAGAGTTGCACAGAAACTGCACACTGTAGCTGAACACAATAGAAACCTTTTTTTCTGACTGCGTCTTAAACACCTTTGCACTTTTATTCCAGATTTGACGGTAACTAACTAGGTTATTAGTCGCCTAGCAAGATCCCTACTGAAAAAGAGATCTCCCTCTCGTCAGGAAGACAGAATCTCTTAAAACGAGCCTTCTAATTAAAAACAATGAAATGTGTCTCTGATGCTTCTCTGCAGACACAAGAAGAGATGGCTGTATTACACTTTTTAAATTATTTCTAGATCTGTATATTTGTGTATTTTCTCAGTTAAATTAAAGAAATGTTTATAGTGTTAGTAGTGTGAAGCTCAGTTAACACTAAGAAGCAGATATCAGCTGCTCATCTCTTCATCTTAACTGGTATAAAGTTAAGAATACTTCCTTTTTCCTCCACTTGATGTTTAAAACGTCTGATCTTCACTGTGCAGGAGAGAGCACCTTCTTTGTGGAGCTGAGTGAGACGGCCAGCATCCTGCATCATGCCACCAAACACTCCCTCGTGCTCGTCGATGAATTAGGTGCGTTCCTGCTGTGACTTTAATCGTATTCAAAGTGTGTGTGTGTCACAGGCCGCCTCAGTTGTGTTGTTCCCGTGGTGACGTGTTTCACATTGTCCCCCCCTCTCTTCTGTGGTCTGTTTGCAGGAAGGGGCACGGCCACATATGACGGCACAGCGATCGCCAGCGCTGTGGTGAAGGAGCTCGCGGAGAAGATCTGCTGCCGCACGCTCTTCTCGACTCATTACCACTCGCTGGTGGAGGACTACGCCAACAACTCCGCCGTGCGGCTCGGACACATGGTGAGTACGACGACGACGACGCAGAAAACACCTGATACCCCGAGTCCAAGTGAAGATCTGTTTTCAATGAGGAGAGAGCTGTGCAGCGTCTTTTTTCATCTTTTCAGAAAGGCGCTGTTTGCGTCATCTGCGCTCTTTTCCAAATGTTTGATATTCAACATAGTTTGGTACAGATCGTGTCTTGTAACCACGGGGAAATAAACGATCTCAAATATAAAACATGCAGTGAAAAGTAACAGAGCTGTGTCGGTCATGCAGCGACTGTTGTCATAGAGACAGGACGGATGTGCTTCATACCAGCTTAGGGCCTAATCCATCAATTAGAACAAAGTTATCTATTTTAAAGTTTCACACAAATGAAATATTTTGGGTGCAAAAACTTTTGACAAAATTCAATCATTTTTTTGTGTGAACACATTTTCTTGTGATCGATCAAAGTGGTGGTGGAATAAAGCTCTTCACATATTTTGCTCTATACTCGAAAAGCGGCAAGTTTGAACCTGCAGTAGAAGCTGGAAAGTACTTAAACCTTTTCCAAAAAACTGTCAGTAACCTTACAAATTCTTTTAAGGACTGTGCATGTTCCTGCAACTCCCACTGATCCACTTGCTGATTATTTGTGCATTAGAAATCGCTCTAGCTGCTCTACAATCCCTCCCCCTGCAGTAAAGTACAATTTCTCAAAGCTAAGTTAGCAGCTGCAGTAAAAGCCAAAGCTGCAAAGTAAAGAACTGAATTATGTGTTATGAGAGAAAGAATGCAGCTGTTTGTGGGCACACCTGCTACCTACTGCCGTCCTTGATGTGGGAGATTCTCCTAACCACAACCTGTAACAGAAGTTTCTTCTTCTGCAGTAATGTGCAGCAAACACTGAGAGTCCCCTGAATTCTTAAAAAGTGTTTTGAATCTGGTCTGTCTCTCTTTCTCAGGCGTGCATGGTGGAGAACGAGTGCGAGGACCCGAGTCAAGAGACCATCACCTTCCTCTACAAGTTCATCTCCGGCGCCTGCCCGAAGAGTTACGGCTTCAACGCCGCCCGACTCGCAAACCTCCCCGAGGAGGTCATCCAATCGGGGCACAGAAAGGCCCGCGAGTTTGAAAAGAGCACCCTCAGCCTCCGCCTCTTCAAGTACGTCTAAAAAATATCCACCTGCTGTATCGTGTAAAGTGAAGATTAACGCCTCATAGTCACATGTTGTGATCTTTCTTTCACAGGAAGCTGTGCCAGTTTTCTGAAGACGCCACACCCGGAAACACACACTTTTCTTCACTGGTTCAGATGCTGCACAGCGTCTAGATTGTACTCGCACTCTTCAGTTTCTGCTGTTTGTTTCTTCGGCAGGTGAATAAACACTACTGTCATGATCTAATAAAGTTTATTTTTAAAAAAGGACAATGTTTCATCTAGGAAATTAAACCCTTTTAATTCACGCTAGCGCCTACATAACGGTTATTGAATACTTCACAATATATTAAGTCTAGATGTTATGATACATGCATACATTTCAGTCTGTATGAGAACCCACAATCACCAGTACACATGGATGGAGAGGAGGCGGGGGGGGGTAATGAAACAATATAGCGCTGCTTATATAGATACTTGTCTCAGCGTCAGGAGAGTAAGAGCTTCTTCAATTCTCCAGCAACGTTGGCAAAAAACAAAAGAACACATCGAGGTCGACTCGTTCTTTTTCTCATGGGAACATAACGGGAAACGAGATTTCCTCATGGTTTAAAAAAATGTAAAGAGGCAGTGTCGTCATCCAAAAAAACAGTTAAACTACATCCTTGAGTTTGCACAACTTTCATCGAGAGAAAAAATGCATAGGAGTAAAAAAAAGGAACACTAAAATGTCGCTGTAACTGCACAAACAAACGATGATATTCCAAACAGCAAAACGAGCCTCATGAATCTGATTTTCTGTCATCGAGTCAACGTTGCTGGAGAATGTTTTATTTATTTTAGTGTTTTCCTCTCGTCTCTGATCTCTTTCACAGAAAGAAGTTTTAGATACTGCGACATGTAAAATTACAGCATTTCTAGGGTATGATAACAAAACAAATGAAACACATTTAATAAAATAAAGACATTCAAGTACAGTAAGATTTTTGCATGAAAATACAAAACTACACAAAGCATTTAAAATCAAATCTCAACAGTTTTCTTGAGGGGGAGAAGTGGGGAAAAAAAAAAAAGCTGAAGTGCTAGGTCGTTTTTCTCGAACTTTTTCGTCCGAGCTTGTTGGTTTTGCTCAGTGATGGAAGCATTGTTGAATTTCGGGGGCCGTTTCTTTTTTTTGCGGCCTCATTATGAATAAAGTTGTCTTGACTTCTGAGCGTCCGTCCACGATGGGGTCTGTACATGACTGCGGGGATCTTCCTTTTTCTCTCTAAAAGCAGGCGAGCCTCGGCAGCTTTTCGTCCGTCTCTGCGGTTTTTCACTCACAAAACAAACACACCCCACAAACCCTGAGTCAGCTGCTCGTCCGGCTCCGCCCCCCCGCTGTTGTCTTTTTTTTTGTTCAAATAACAAAAAGAAAAAGCGAGGCATCCTTAATCACCTTGTTGTCTTCTCTTAATGTCTTCTTAAAGTCCCTGTGTCCGCTCTGAGAAAGTGAATCTGGATTTCCTCCGCTGCACAACGTAAAGTGTCTCGTGTCCGTTGCTGCAGAAGCACGAACCGTGGGGGGGGTGGGGGGTGGGGGGGGCTCAGTTGTGCTGCAGCGTGTTGGACTCTATAGGAGGAGCCGAGTCATACAGTGTGTCCGTGTCGTGAGTCGGCTCTCCCGCTAACGTGCAGGGATTCGACAGCGTCCCGGCACCACAGTCACAGAAGAATCTGAGGAGAGAAGACGGATTAATGTCAGGGACGAGCACAGGTCGGGTTTCAAGACATACAGACGACGGTTCCTTCTTTCATCTATTTGTTCAATGCATCCAAAGAATGAAGGAACAGTTAAGATTAAAGATTTTCATCAAGACAGAAAGAAAATCCTTCATCCTCGTCTCTGAGCGAGCGTGTCTGCAGCAGTGACGGCGCTTGATATGATACGAGTCTATTTTCATGAATTTACTTTTCAAGTTCTTTTTTTTCCCCAAATAAAAGCAGACATACATGAGGGGGCTTAACCTGGCTAGACAGATTTGTGATGGGGCTATAGCGCCCCCTAGCACCGGTGTAGCGCTGTGCTCCACCTGCAAAGAGCCTGGCGGCTTCCCTCCCTTAAAACAAAAACAAACCTTCAACTATTCTGATGTGATGGTCAAAAGTAAAAAGTAAGTCCCGGTCATATGAGTCCTGCAGCTCTTCAGGTCTGTGTCTTCTGACATTATCTCGACCAGGGATGGGCAACTTTGGTCACAGCAAGGGGCCACATTAATTTAATTCCCACTGCCAGAGCGCCAAATTGTAGTTTCTAAAAGCGATTAGTCAATTTTGTCTCAACTTTAACTCCAGTGATCAAATATTATTATGGACATTTTGTCATTGTTCCAATTAATTGCAGGGATGCAAACAATCAGGGATGAAAAAGGTGACATGGTTTCAAACCTCCCATGGGGGTCCGGGTGTGTGTGTGTGTGTGTGTGTGTGTGTGTGTGTGTGTGTGTGTGTGTGTGTGTGTGTGTGTGTGTGTGTGTGTGTGTGTGTGTGTGTGTGTGTGTGTGTGTGTGTGTGTGTGTGTGTGTGTGTGTGTGTGTGTGTGTGTGTGTGTGTATAAAATGTTATGTAAATTAGCCATGAGCTGAACATTGCGACTCATTGAATCAGGCTTCTTGCGGTCGGCACAGCGACATTGTGCAATCACGGCCGGCGTGAGGAGGGTCCATGGAGTGTCTGAGCGCCCAGCAGCGCACCTCCAAGATTTTGTAATAACGCAGACAGGTTTGTGCCGTTGCAATGATTGGCTACAGGGCCTGGAAGTACTTTATTCAGGCTGTGTTGATCGCTGAGCGCTCTGACTGCAGTCAGCATGACACAACTCGCCGGCCGCAAGAAGCATGAATAAGGTTTTAGATTCATGACAGCTCACGTCACAGATTTATTCCCCCCCTCCTCCTCCTCCTCCTCCAAATATTTGTTTTGTAGATCTAAATGAATCACACAAATTACCTATTTCGGATCCAAAACAGCAAATTTTGCCAAAAGGTGACAAGTTTGCACCCCTGTAATTGATAAATAAAAATTGACCTGAGGGCCACGTTGAGGGTTGATGGGGGCCGCATGTTGCCCACCCCTGATCAAGACTCTTAGGAGATTCATGCCTTGATATTTTCCTATGTTTCCCATGTTGTTTCAGTGTCTGACTTTGTCCCGCTTGATTGTTTCTGTGGTAAATTGACTCGCTGTGCGACGGGATACAGCAGAAATAGAGTCCTTGGAGCTGAGACGGAGCCAAGGAGCAGCGGGGCCAGTGGAAGCACACACACACATTGAATAAAGTAAAAACCAATGAGCGCTGTTACAAACAGGACGGAAACAGTCCGAACACGATCAGGTGGAATTCAGTCTTTAATTCTCTGCCCGTCTTTGGTCGAGCGATGGCGTCACACCGGGTGTTTATTGTGGTGATGTGCGACATCGACACTGACCTATCGTGTCTGATGAACTCCACGTCGTGTCCTTGGTGACACTTCTTGATGCAGTTCACACAGATGGCGTTGCGGTCTGTCGTGTTACAGGTGTGACACCTGCGGGGGACACAAAAGTGTGCGTGTTAAAAGATCGCAGAACCGACCAATCGGCTGAAGGATGAACCGGTCTCCTTTGGTGGCGAGCGTAAACATCAGATTACCTGTAAAAATCGTGCATTGGGTAGCTGGTGTAACTTGAAATCTTGTACAGGCACTGACCTCTGCTCACAGCCTTCTCAATGGCATCCTGATTGTTCATTATTTTATTATCTGGAAGAGAAAGACACAAAAGGAATCAGTTAGCAGCAGCGCTCATTTTTTTTATTTTTATACACACACGGCGAGAGACGGCGTCGATCTAGAGAACGTGTGACCACCTTTCATTGTGACGTTGACACCCGATGCTAGAAACAATCCCCCGAAGCGATTGTTGAAGATCTGATTGCCCTCGAGAGTCGCTGTGGCGTGATTGGTGATCTCAATACCTAACAGAAGAAGAAAAAAAAAAAAAAGGTTAATTTTAAGAACCTTTTTGTTCACCCAGGTTTGTTAAACGACGATGGATTATCATCATTCTATACCTGCAGCGAAGCCGTCAAATATCCTGTTTTTCCTCAGGACGGGGTGACTGTTGGTGCTGATGAGGACTCCTGCTGGGCGTTTCTGAAGATGTCGTTTTCCTCTAACAAACCTGAAGACAGGAAAAAAGACATTTAGGCACAAACTAGGGCTGTGCTCAAAGAATCGACATGGCAAGTTGTGCATATCTATATGATATATTTCTACGTATATAGGTGTGATGGAATTATCAGGGGTGCAAACTTGTCACCTTTCAGCCAAATTCTGTTTTGGATCCCAAATAGGTAATTTGTGTGATTCATTTAGAAGGGGGGGGGGGGGGGGGGGGGGCATTTATAAAAAGGGACTAAAGGTTGAGAGCATGGGGGTTTTCATGTTTCACTGAAACTTTGTGAAAAAGTTAAAACAGAACATAGATATAGACAACAGACTACAGGCAATTGTGTTTATCTTATTGTTTGCGCCGCTTCTTTAGTCGGTCTGAATGCTAAAATAGTTTGTAAATTCACTCTTCAATTCATTTTTAAAGCTGATATTTAAAAAAAAAAAAAGATCTTCCCGGGGGAGCATGCCCCTGGACCACCCTAGGGGGTTTGGATCCATGTCACCTTTTTCATCCCTGATGAGTTTGCAGCCCTGAATTATACTGTGAGACATTATTGGGGGTGAAGAAGTTGGTTAGTTACCTCTTCCTCCGTTGAATATACAGATGCCTCCGTCTCGCCCGTCGTGGATCTTATTCCTCCGCAGAGTCGGGTTACTGTCCGTCTTTATCCACACTCCTGCCATGGCGTTGTCAAAGATCTCGTTGTCCTCGATGAAGCCTAAGCCTGCAAGATGACAAATGTGTTTTTCATGATAAGAAAACAACACAATAGTCTACTTGAAAAAAAAAAAAAGGCAGTCCACATTAAATAAAGCAGGTGAGTTCCCTCTGATCTCACCTGAGTTGTAAACCAAAATGCCTCCGTTCTGACCTCCCCAGATCTTATTCCGCCGGATCTTGGGATTGCTGCCGGTCCTGTTAGAAAGGGAGGACACACAGAGACCCTGCTTATCACTAAATGCATTAAACACAAACACATTCTGTCCAAATATCATTTAAGTGTCTCAGAGAATATTTCCACATCATTGCTTTTGGCACAAACCTAATTTGAACTCCAGAGTACATGTGATTGTAGA